AGACTTGTCTCCAATTTCCCATTAAAGTCAGAAGCAAGGCTGTACTACTTGTAGCTCCTCAAGAGGCCAAGATCTGAGGATTGAAGCTGTGGTAACTCAGTTTTCCCTTTCTTGTTGACCCCCACTTGTAGCCCCAACTCTAGCCTCCATTACAGATTGCTGCTGTCTGCTTGGCCCTGACCACAGCTGAACAATATCCCAGCCCCTAATGCTCTTGGATTTCTGTAAACCACACCTGCGTGGGGTTCTGACCTACAAAGCCCTGTTCCACTAGAGGGCGATGCTGCTCTTAATCCTCCCAAGACAAGGCATGTGGGTCCGGCCAAAAAAACTCCTTCATCAGCTTCAACCATGCAAAGGAGGAGAAGAAAGATAGTTGGAAACAGTGACTTTGAAAATCTTTCCAAAGCAGTGTGGACAGATAATAAAGACCAAATTGCAGGGCTGAAATTTCTTCAGTAATTGGGAAGTATACACTGAATAAAACTTGGCATGGAAAATACTGTTAAGAAAGGCTAATATTTGTTATTCAGTAAACATTTTTGAACATCAATGATGGGCCAGGTATTATTATAAGTACTTAGATTATCACAAGTGAACAAAACAGACAAAAAATTTCTTCCCAGCTGGGTGCCAATGGCTCAGGTCTGTAATCCTAGCTACTCAGGATGCTGAGATCTGAGGATCACGGTTCAAAGCCAGCCTGAACAGGAAAGTCCGTGAGACTCTTATCTCCACTTCCAGAAAACTACAAGTGGCACTATTGCTTAAGTGGTACAGCACTGGCCTTGTGCTGAAGAGCTGAGGGACAGCACCCAGGCCCAGAGTTCAGGCCCCACGACTAACCCCCCCCCCCCCCCACACACACACTCAAAAAAAAAAATTATACTTCTTTGTAGATCAAACAGTTTTATGGAAAAGCAGAAGACAAACATGAAAACATTATTGAGAGGTTTTTGGTTCTGAGTACTAGAAACTGAATCAAGCTAGCTTAAGGGAAAGGGATTCTCAACACAAAGGGTGAGTGGCTGTGTTGGGGATACCTCCCAGAGATGGTTGCAGGAACAGTTTGGTGTATAAGCAGCCTCCTAGAACCCAGCCCTGGCGAAGATGAGGCAGTGTGAGCTGTGGAATCTCCTGTCTATTACAGAACTTACATCTTTCCAGTTCTACTTTTTTCCTTATGAAGAAGAGATTTTCTTTGCACGTAAGCTCTTCAGATTTTAGAGTGGTATATCTCAAAATATCACAGTACCAACTAGACACTGTGGGCTCACACCGATAATCAGACTGAAGTCTGAGGATCAAGATTTGAAGCTAGTGGGCTGGGAAGTTGTCTCAGTGGTAGAGCGCTTGCCTTGCATGCATGAGGCCCTGGGTTCGATTCCTCAGCACCACATAAGCAAAAAGAAAAAAGCCGGAAGTGGCCCTGTGACTCAAATGGTAGAGCGCTAGCCTTGAGCTGAAGAGCTGAGGGACAGCGCCCAGGCCCAGAGTTCAGGCCCCACGACCGGACCACAAAAAAAAAAAAAAAAAAAGATTTGAAGCTAGGTACTGGGAAGGTGGCTCACTGGTAGAGCAATTGCCTTGCATGCTTGAGTCCCTGGGTTCGATTCCTCAGCAACATATAAGCAGGAGAAAAAAAGCTGGAAGTGGTGCTGGGGCTCAAGTGGTAGAGTGCTAGCCTTGAGCTGAAGAGCTGAAGGACAGCGCCCAGGCTCAGAGTTCGGGCCCCATGACAGGACCCAAAAAATAATTTTTTTAATTAAAAAAAATATTTGAAGCCAGCCCTGGCAGACAAATCTGAGAGACTCTTATCTACAATTAACCAACAAAAATGTGGAACTGGATGTTTGGCTCAAGTGGTAGAGTACCAGCTGTGAGTGAAAAAGCCAAGTGGATTTTGCCCACGTTGGCACCATTACAAAATTCAGAGCCAATCAGAATAGGAAAACCATGATATTCTAGACTGCAAATTAATCAGCAAAATAGTCAAAAGTGCAGCTCTGTCTCAATTGGCAGAGTGGTAGCCTTCAGCAAATAGCTAAGAGACAGCACCCAGGGCCTGAAACTAGCAGCAACACACAAAACCACACAAGACTAATAAAAAATTCTTTCTGTTAACTTGAAAAAACTTATTAGAATTATAAACAATTGAAGATTATATTGTTATGTTAAAGGTGAGCGCACAGCGGTTACAGTTTCAGAAGTCAGGTGAAGAGAACATTTCTTTTTGGACAATGTCAGCCCTTCTCTTACTTTCCCAGTTTTTCCCTTCTGGCCTCACCCACTAGTTGTATAGTTTATTTTTCACATGCACATCTAGTGCATAGCACTGCTGCATTTGTTCACCCTCTGTCCTCCATTTCTGTCAAGTCATGTATTTATTTATCTTTGTTGGTCATTGGACCAGGCATGGTCCATGACCTTCTTTTGCTCAAGGCTAGTGCTCTCTCTAACATTTGAGCCACAGCATCACTTCTGGTTTTTTGAGTAGTTCATTGGAGATAAGAGGGCTGGGAATGTGGCTTACTGGTATGCTTGCCTAGCATGCATGAAGCCCTGGGTTGGATTTGGATTCCTCAGTACCACATACACAGAAAAAGCAAGAGTGCTGCTGTGGCTCAAGTGGTAGAATGCTAGCCTAGAGCAAAAGACACTCAGGTTCAGTGCCCAGGCCCTGAGTCTAAGCCCCAGGACTGGCAAAAAAAAAAAAAAAAAAAAGGAAAAAGAAAAGTATCTCCCAGTTTCCTGACCCAACTGACTGCCAATTGGGATTCTGAGATCTCTGACCCCTGAGTAACTAGGATTAAAATCATGTGCCACTAGGAGCAGGAAAAGTCAAGCTTTTTGTTTGTTTGTTCCAGTCTTGGGGCTTGATGAACTCAGGGTCTGGGCTCTGTCCCTGAACATCTTTTTGTTCAAGGTTAGCATTGTACTTCTTGAGCCATAGTGCTACTTCTGGCTTTTTCTTTTTATGTGGAATGAAGGAATTGAACCCAGGGCTTCATGCATGCTAGGCAAGCACTCTCCCACTAAGCCACATTCCTAGCCCCAAGTCAAGTACTTTGAAGGCCTGTTGTTGTTTTGGTCAAAGGGGATTGAGTTCAGACCTGGGTGCTGTCCCTGAGCATTTATACTCAAAACTAGCAATTCATCATCTAGAATCCCAGTACCACTTCCCAGTTTCTGGTAGTTAATTGGAGATAAGAGTCTCAAGGACCTTGCTGCCCTGGCTGGCTTTGAACCTCTATCCTCGTATCTTTGCTTCAAAAGTAGAGAGGCTTACAGGGCATGAGCCATCAGCTTTAAAGACTGTTTTATGGGCTGGGAGGTGGCTCAGTGGTAGATCGTTTGCCTTGCATGCAGGAGGTCCTGGGTTTGATTCCTCAGCACCACATATGAAGAAAAAGCTGGAAGTGGTGCTGTGGCTCAAGTGGTAGAGTGATAACTTGACTTGAGCTAAAGAAGCTCAGGGGACAGTGCCCAGGCCCAGAGTTCAGGCCTACGACCGGACCCACCCCCCCACCCCCGCAAAAAAAAAAAGAAAAAAATAAAGACTCTCATATCTAGAAGTGATTTTTTTTTTTTTTAGCCAGTCTTGGGCCTAGAATGCTAGGCAAGCATTCTACCACTACACCATATTCCCAGCCCTAACAGTGAATAGTAACAGAACCCATATGATACAAATACCTTTGGGGTCGACATGAATGTGTGAGTGTGCATAGATCATAGAAGCAAAGTCTCTGAGGACCTCTGACTTCGCCCTCAGGCCAAACCCAGAAGAGGCTAGCATAGAGTGCTGGTGCAGGAGGACAGGGATCAGGACAAAGCTCAGGTGTCCTGGCCTAGATCTCAGCTTCTCAGAAACAGAGCTGCTCTGGGTGGGGAAGCTCAGCCGATTCTGCCCGGACACTGGTGACGCGACCACAGTACTCGCGACTATTGGCTGTCGGGTTCTAGAGAAGCCAATCAGTGTCACTGGGGTTCCCGGTTCTAAAGTCCCCCGCGAAGCTATGAGCACTCAGATTCTCCCCAGATTCTGGGGCTGGGCTGATGGCGCCCGGATCCGTCCTGCGGCTGCTGTCGTGGGTGCTGGCGCTGACCGGGACCTGGGCGGGTGAGTCTGGGACCCGTGGGCAACACGAGTCCGCAGGGTAGAGCGAGGGGTGGCGGTGGGGTGAGGCGCCGTCGGGGGGCAGGGCCCGGGCAGCCGCGTCCCCGTCGCCTCCGCCTGACCCGTCCTCGGTGCCCTCGCTGGGCGCCGCCGGGATCATTCGCACCCCCTTTGCGTCTCCCGCGTGCCGAACCCCTTCTCCGCTCCCGCCGCGCTCCCGGCTCTCACCCGCGCCCGCCCGCAGGCCCCCACTCCCTGCGGTATTTCCACACCGCCGTGTCCCGGCCCGGCCTCGGGGAGCCCCGCTTCATCGCCGTCGGCTACGTGGACGACGCGCAGTTCGTGCGCTTCGACAGCGACGCCGCGAACCCCAGGATGGAGCCGCGGGCGCCGTGGGTGGAGCGGGAGCCGCCCGAGTACTGGGAGCGGGAGACGCGGATCAGCAAGGACAGCGCACAGATTGACCGAGTGAACCTGCAGACGCTGCTCCGCTACTACAACCAGAGCGCGGACGGTGAGCGACGCCGCCGGGTCGGAGGTCACGACCCCTCCCCGCCTCCCGCTGACCAGCCCGAGCCCCCGGGGTCTCAGGACTGAGGTTCAGCCCAGGCTGCGGGCGCTGCGGGGGGACCGGCACCCCGGGAAAGAGCCGCGGGGTGGGGCCGGTGTCCTCTCCGTGTAGGACAAAGTCCCCGCGGGGCACAAAATTCCCCCTCCTGAGGGTGGTGATGGGAACTGATTGCAGCACTCAGGCCCACAGGGACTCAGCTGCCCACTGAGGTCACACTCCAGGAGGTCCTGGGTCTCTCTTCCCAACTGTCGCACTCCTCTCTCCTGATGCTTCCTTGGTTCTATGGTCACATTTCTAGAAACTTCCCATGAGGTCAAGGCTAGGGATTCATCCAGGCCCTCATGGCACTGCTTGTGTGCTGCCTCTCACATGGTGTTTCTCCTACAGGTGACAAGAGAGAAGGCTATGATAAGGCTGCAAGTGAGTGTCATGGGGGAGGAGGTGACCTTTGTTGTGGTGCAGACAGGACCTGTGGGAGCTCATGCACCCCGGAATTCCTCCAGTGACGCCTGTGTTCTCTAACCAGTTCCTCTCTTCCACCACAGGAGACGACAGTGACCAGGGTTCTGATGCTTCCCTCAGAGCTGAAAAAGGTGACAACTGGAGACCCTAAATGGGGGCAGGGCTGAGGCCCAGGGAAGGCTGTGTTGTAGTTGCAGGGTCTATGCATTGGGTGTTAGTGGCCTGCTCAGAGTGTGTGGCTAACAGTGACTGATCTGCATTGTTGTGCGTGTTCTTTTCTCCTGCAGTGTGACACAGCTGCTTTGTGTGGTCTGAGAGGCACAGCATTTGTTCCTGCCTCTCCTCCTCACTCCTGGGACATCATGAGCTCCTGACTTCGCTTCCTGTACCTGGGTTCTGAGCGTGTGCAGGCTTCTGTGTGCTGTCAGCCTCCTGTGAGGAACTGAGGAGCCAGCCCAGCCCTGAGCACCAGGACCCTCCCCACACTGACCTGGGTCTCTTTCCCCTCCAGCTGCTGCTCCAGCAGAGGCAGGGCCAGGGCTTCCCCAACCCTGACTTCACTTTCCCTTGCTCTGAGCTGCAGCTGCTGCTTCCCCACTGATAAAGAGAATGTGGATGTGGGTCTGTGTTTCAAATTGTTGCCATGGAAAAATGTTGAATAAATCAATGAATGATTCCCAAAATTAAGATAGAAAATAAAACCTGATTAACTTCCAAAATCATCCTGTTTGCTGAGCTGTGTTGTGGGCGGGGCCAGGGTTAGGCTGAGAACAGGCAGGTGTGGATAGGAGCTCAGTGCATTCTGGACTGTCATGTATTCAGTCCTCACCTGGGTTGTCTTCCCTGCTCCTCAGTTGTGTTGTTTTCCTAGAACCTTCTCCATGAGCACCTATGATCAGAGGAGCTTTTCATTTGTCTAGGACACAGCACAGACTGTGCAGGTGAGACTAGGCTCAGGCCTGAGTCCTCTACTAAGACACCATCAGTTCTTCTCCATACTTGTGTCCCTTCTTGTCATCCTGCATGAGCTGGTGTCTTGTTGGCCTTCTGGGTGTCCCTGTGACAGCAGCAGGGGGTGTGTTGCTGTCACTGCCTCCCAAAGCACCAGGCAGCCTTGCACAGGGTGTGTGTGGTGAGGAGAAAGGCAATGTGAGGCAGCTTGCTTTCCTTCTAGCACTGCTGCCTCCAGTGTGGTTCTGTGCTGTCCCCAGTGCCCTCAAGGGAGCCACCTGTGGGAAGAGCAGAGAGGAGGGATGTCAGGTTTCTCCTGCTAGCTCCCTTCCTGATCCTCTGCATCTTCTCTGCCCACCTTCCCTCCACCTGCCCTCAGCTCTGGTTAGCCCCAGCTCTGCTCCCACCCAAATGCCTGGATTGAAGAGCAGAGTCAGGAAGGGATTATGATACCCAGCTTGATTTTCTGAGAGATTCTGGAAGTTAGTGGACTTCATGTCCACATGTGAGTGTCAGGGCATTTCAAGGAGAATGGGTCATGAGGGCTCTGACCTAGACAGCATGTCATTAGGTGGTAGATTGTAAACCTGAAGAGAGTTCTGGAAGCTGGTGGACTGTGGTAGTGGGACTCCACTGTGTGTGGGTTCCTTGGGGATTGTGTTTTCTCTGCACCCTGTTACTGCCCTGCTCTGCCTCCTGCTGCCACGAGAGGCGCTGTGCTTCCTGCTGTGCCCTGCCTTCCCTCTAAGGCTGACTTGGTCCTTTCAACCCTGACCAAAACACTCCCTTCTGCTCAGCTTCAATCTCAAAAACAAATTAACACAGGAATCTCCTGGCAGACAGCAGGGCCTGTGCTCTGACTACTTAACAATGTGGTTCTTAGGCCTTTGGTTTGGTCTGCAGATTGAATTTGGAATCCCTCAGAAAGTCAAAGGAGGTCAGAACTGTCATGCTTGTGGAGCATGTGTGCTAGCAGAAGAGACAGGTGGCAGGGTGTGTAAGAGAGCAAGGAAGGACCATGACATGCAGGAGGAAGGCAGTGCTACAGGTCAGGTGACATGGTGTGGGTGTGGGGACAGAGCGGACTGTGGTACTAGGTGTTCATCATGACCTGGAGGGAAATTTTCTGAGTTGTGAAATTCGCCAAAAGATATCTAGAGAAAGTGTTGGTAAACTGGAGGATCTCTTGTACAAAGTCTTTACCTCTTCTGTGGACTGCCCAGATCTGTTGCTGAGTTGAGCCTTTGAGAAGAGACCTGAAGACAAGATTCTCACTTGAGGGATTTTTCTTTGTGTGTATGTGCTAGTCCAGGGCTTGAACTCATGGCTTGTGTGCTGTCCCTCAGCTTGTTCTTGGTCAAGGTTACTGTGCTGTTTGAGTCACAGATTCCCTTCCTGCTTTTGGGAAATAAGAATTCCCCAGACTTTCCTATCAGTGCTGGTTTCAAGCCATGAATGGGAGAAGTCTGCCTCCTGAGTAGGCAGGAGTATAGCAGGATCCAAACTACCTGACTTTGATAGTGATTTTCTTTTTGTGTCATTCCTTGGGGCTTGAACTCAGGGCTTGGGCACTCAAAGCTTTTATCACTCTAAGTTAATACTCTACCAATTTGAGCCACAACATCACTTCTGGCATGAGCCACTTGCTTTCAGTTGAAATATATTTATTTATTTTCAGTTCTGGGGCTTGAACTCAGGGCCTGGGCACTGTCCCTGAGCTTCCTTTGTTCAAGACTAGAATTCCACCCGTTTAACCTTACTGCCACTTCCAGCCTTTTCCATGTGGTTGAAGGAATCAAAGCCAGGGCTTCATGCATGTTGACAAGCATTCTACCACTAAGCCACATTTTCAATCTCTGATGTATATATATTTTTTAAGTCGAAGAAGATGTTTAATGAAGAAGAAAAAATAATGGTAGACATACAAATGTCCCAGAGTATAGGTTTAATCTATCCGGGCCTGTAGTTTCCAAATGTGACCACACGATGGCGATATAAGTCCGGCCTTTTTCTTTCTTTCTTTCTTTTTTTTGTCTGGTCCTGGGGCCTGATCTCTGAGCCTGGGCACTGTCCCTCAGCTCTTCAGCTCAAGGCTAGCACTCTACCTCTTCAGCCACAGCGCAACTTCCGGCTTTTTTTCATTTTGCTTATGTGGTGCTGAGGATTCAAAACCAGGGCCTCATGCATACAAAGCAAGCGCTCTACCACTGAGCCAAGTCCAAGTCTTCCCAGACCCAAGTCCAGCTTTTTCGTTGTTGGTTTGTTTTGCTTTTTTTTTTTTTTTTAATCAATGTAGAACCAGATAAATAAGTGCTGAAACCTGGCTCTGGTGGATTATGCCCAGTATCCTAAACACTCAGGAGGCTGAGGTCTAAGAATTGCTATTCAAATCCAACGTAGGCAGAGAAGTCCATGAGACACATCTCCAATGAGCCATAAGAAAACCCAAGGAACTGCTATGGCTCAAAGTAGTGCAACACTAGCCTTGAGCAAAAGAGCTCTGAGTTCAAGACTCAGAACAGATGTAAAAACACCCCAAAAACAAACAAACACAACCCCTCCCCCATAGTACTGAGTAGGCATGAAGATGTCAACTTTGGTACTTGGAAACCTTTGGGTAAATACAGCCCTTTGGAGGCACAGGCCTCTGTTGCTTTGTACATGGCTGGTATTACACTCAGTTTATCTCATGCATTAAAATCTGTGTTAAGTCTTTGGGTCTGTTCCCTTATCCCAATTTGGAGGTATAAGGCTGCATTGTGCTTCCCAGAATACTCACACAGCAAGTAACAAATTCATGACCCCTGTTCACTTTTTCTCAGTAAGTGGTTTGGATGCCATTGTGGTCAATTCCAATTTATACTCTCAACAGGTGCAGTGGCACCGTGGGTGGTAAAATCATTATTTAAAGCCTTTCTTGACATCTAATTTATGGATAGAACTAAAACATTCATGTCTGAGCTAAGTGCTGGTGGCTCACATCACTAATTCTAGTCACCTAGGAGGCTGAGATTTAAAGATTGTGCTTTGGCATCAGCCTAGGTAGGGAAGTCCTGACAACTTCCATCCACAGTTAACCCCCCAAATCCTGAAAGTGATCTTGTGAGTCAAGTGGTAGAGGACTAGCCTAGAGTAAAAAGGCTCAGGGACAGGCCCTGAGTTCAAGTCTCAGCATCAGCACACACACACACACACACACACACACACAGACACACACACACACACACACACAGAATGTAATAAATCTCAAGCAGTTCAGAATGTACAAGAGTTCTCAGGGATGCTGAGAAGTGCAAGGAAAGGCAAGAGAAGAATCTGAGCAACTGGAAGGAGAGCTAGAAGCGCTTGGGGTTGTCATTTTCTCCACTTTGCAATGCAGACAACAGGGCTCCTTCCTTCCAGCAACTAATATTCATTAAATGTCCTCTGCCTGCCAACCCCTGGGCTGTACTGCACAGAACACGGGGAACCTCTTCCCTCAAGGAGACCTCTCTGTCCACATCTAGCTGGGCCAGTGTCCAGGGACAGGCCTGCCACCTGCAGGCTGCTCCCTGCTGTGCTGCAGCCCTGTGCAGGTCAGCTTGTGGTTCATTCTCCCCTGGGAACCCATGAGCAGCTGTGGTCTCTTGGGCTCAGTGCACTCTCCTGCTGTCTCCCTAGTTCTCACTATCCTGGCCACCTGACCCCATCAGCCCCAGTTTCTCTGGCTTTGCAAAGTCCTCTGTGATAGATTGGAACTTCTGTTCTAGAAACATATTTGCAGTGTCACACACAAACTCGGGTAGCTACCCAGGAAAGGAATTTCCAAATGCTTGCCAGCTCTGGGTGAGTAATAAGTCTCAGCGTTCCCAGACTCAACCCAGAATTTGCACTGGTAGCATTATCAAACTCACAACACATTAGCATCATTCATTTCAGCAAAACACATTCTTCTGGGGCCTGCCTGTAATACCAGGTGAGACAAGTATGGTCAGAGGCCAGCATGAGCTGCATAGCAAGTTCAAGCCCAGTCGGTGCCACAAGGCTGAGTCATTTAAAACCAAATGAACAAACAAAACACTTTTTTGTGGCTGACCTGGGTCTTTACCTCAGGGCCTGGGCACTGTCCCTGATTCTTTTTCTCTCTCTCTCTCTCTCAAGGCTAGCACTCTATAACTAGAGTCACAGTTGCACTTCTGGATTTGTTGGTAGGTAATTGAAGGTAATAGTCACAGATTTCTTGTTCAGGTAAGCCTCAAACTTCAATCCTCAAATCTCAGCCTCCTGAGTAGCTAGGAATACAACTATGAGGCACCAGGGCCGCGGTGAATAACCAAGGGCTGTGGATGCAGCTTAGTGGAAGAAGACTTGTGCTAGGCTCTGGGGACAAATCCCAGCCCTATAAAAATGAAAGTAGAAGAAAATCCCCTCTGGAAGTGTATGTTATAACCCCATCAGTCTCTAGGGTTTGGCTCACCTAATGCAGTCATTTACACTCAGCCCAGATCTGAAGGAGATTCCCTGTGCTCTAGGGAAATGCTTCCCAATCCTTAAGCAATGAGACAGGAAGGAAGAGCAGAACCTGAGTGCAGCAGCTGAGACAGGAAATCTAATGATGTTCTGTGCTTAACATGCAGATAGAACAAGAAAAGTGCCAGAATGCGTAAACAACAACAACAACAAAGAAAAAAAAATCCCCAGCAATGACAGGATACATAATTTTTTGCAAAAGAAGACAGAACTCTGAGAACAACTTCAGCGCTGCTTTAAGAGGCAGCAAGCAGGACTACCC